GACCGTTTCTGTGAATAGCAACAAGAGATCTGTGCTGCTTTAGCAGAAAACAGGAATAAGTTGTGCCTAATGCCTCCTGACACAGACATCACCACACTGGAGACCGTGCGAGATGTCCTGGGCCCACTAAGTTCCTTTACTGATGCCCTGTGTGGAGAAAGAGAGACAACACTTTCTTCTGTCATCCCTGTGATGTGGAAGATACTTTCACATCTACAGGACAGTGATACAGACTCTGTGCTAACCTGCAACATGAAAACAGAAATCAGGACAGATCTGGAAATGAGATACAGCAATGAGAAGTTACAAATTCTTCTTAATTCAGCAACCTTCTTTGATCCTAGGTTTAAGAACACATTTGTAACTAAGGAGAAGGAAGTGACAGAAGTACTAATGCAAAAAAACTGTCATAGATGGTTTCTCTAATCCAAAATCAGTGATGGAGTCAACTCAGGAAGAGCAGGAAGAACAAACAGCTGGTAAAAAACAAAAACGAGACTTGGGTAGCCTTCTGTCTTCTATTGTATCAGAGAAAAAAAGAAAAGAGTTGGGAAAGGGAGATGAATGTCAAGCCGGGAGGGAATCTCTAGAGATGCCAACTGACAGACTAAAGAAAGAACTCCAAATGTACAAGTCTATGGAAGAGACCAATGCCACAGACAACCCACTTTCTTGGTGGAAAAGGCATGAATCAAGCCTACCCATTCTTTCGACGTTTGCCAAATATTACCTTTGCATTCCAGCATCTAGCTCAGCCTCTGAGAGAGTTTTCAGTACCTCTGGCCTCATCTGTAGCCCACTTAGATCCAGACTATCAAGTGACAATATTGACACATTAGTTCCCTTTCGTAGTCAGTTCGAGTTACATCAGAAGTGACGTAGATTGGGGTTTCGCATAGAAAGCCAATCCTCTTCGAGTATTTAATCACGAGCCAATGGCATGAAATGCCTTGGGGCTGCGGAAATTTGCATAGCGTACTCCGCCCTACTCCGTGAGTATAAAAGGAGGAAGTGAACGCAACCGCATGTTTTCACTTCGGAGCCAAGAGACTTCCTCACTCCTTAAGCCATTCTCACTGACAAGACTCTTCGAGACGAGCTTCCTCTTCAGTGTTGGTGTGACGGCGGTACCCAGCGAGACTCTGCATTGCCTGCGATCTGAGCAGTGGTCTGCCAGACTTTGCGCTTCTCCCTGGACACCTCAGCCCTGAAAGAGTGAATTTCCTCCTCTCATTGAAAGAGCTGCACGTGGCACGTCTTTTTAAAGATGGTTTGCCCGTGTTCATCAGAGGACGACATGAATCGACCGCATCCAGAAGGTCACGATCGCTGCTCTGTTTGCCTGGGTATTCAGCATGCAGCAGCAGCGTTCGTGGATGACTCATGTTCCTTTTGTGGGGACATGACCATCTCTACACTGCGATCGAGACTCAATGATCTGACTAAAGTGAGAGTCCCCGCGTCCGTTATTCGTTCAGCTTCTTCTTCGAGAAGCTCTTCGACTCGCGGACAGGGTGATTTGACGGTGACGGTGTGGAACAAAAACCCGACGAGAGATCCTCGGGCCACACCCCCTGCCCCAGTGTCAGAGCCAGCGAGTGCTGCTTCGATTCAGGCGTCTGCCTCTTCGCAGGTACCGTCTGTTTCGTTCGGCGCTCCAGAGGATGACGCGATGTCGATCGCAGCATCACAGGGCGGGCTTGATTCCTCGGGAAGTGAGGATGCGGCTGCGTTGCCTTCCTCGGGAGCGCCAGCGTTGCCCGTGTCTGATCCCGAGATGACGGCCATGCTGTCTCGGGCCGCCGTGAGTATCAGGTTAGAGTGGAACCCTCCGCCCTGCCCCGATCTCTCACGGATGGATAATTGGTTTTTGGGTAAAGCTGCCGCCGCAAAAACTTCCTTTTTTTCCCCGAGTTGCATGTGGAGCTGACGCGCACTTGGAAGGCCCCTTTGACCCCACGAGAGCGCGCTCCAGCCTCCCCCGACTTTCCTCCCCTTGACGGCGCAGCTGCCCGTGGGTACGCTGGGATTCCTCCGGTGGACTGCTCTGTTGCGATGCAACTGTGTCCGCAGAGCGCGTCCTCCCGTGGGACTCTTAAGCACCCATCCAAAGCCTGTAGGTTCTCGTCGTCTATGGCGGCGCGTTCCTATAGAGCGGCAGAGGCGCTGCAATAGGGCAGGCAATTGCCTGGGGCCCCGCATTTTGAGGAGGCCCCCGAGGGCCGATCATTTAAACAATCAAAAATGTTCGTATTTATATAACACGCAGTGACACCGCAACACCTCGGCATCCCCCTTAGTGGCGCACCCTCTCTCGCGACTCGCGAGGCTGCTTATGCTTTCGCCGCCTCTGATGCCTTCTTTAAACTGCCGCATCGCTTACTCGCGTTTCTGAAACCGAAAATCATATCCGAAAATGCATGAATTCATGTATTAAACATGCAGAGGACATATCCATTTGGCAGCCAGAAGTGAAAAAAAAGCAAGATGAAGCGGAGAAGAGAAAACAGGACTGCAGTAAGTGATGGAGAATGAGATGATGATGATTGATTGACTTAGCTTATTAATGACAAAAAAATCATTTTTGATCAATCGTTTCGTTGTTCAGTTCACATATTTTTCCCAGTAGTAACATTACATGTCGTTTTAAAGCATCTTTACAGAAAATATATGTAGCATAGGCTACATTTATTTTCTGTAAAGATGTTTTAAAACGATAACGTTGCACGTTTCCATTACAGATTTGTGCAAAACTTTTACGATATTTTCCAAATGTCGATAAAAACTATTGCGAAATGACGGTGTTTCCATTAAGTTTTGTGACTAAAACTTCTTTTTTTTCCTCTCGCTATAAGTCATTACAAAAATCATGGCAACGGACGTTGGTAAGTTTACCTATTTCACAGATATGCACCGCACTAGACATTATTATTAATGGAAGGAGACGTGTGTTATTCAAGCATTAATGGCAGGGAAAGACACGGAGTTCCTGCGTTTCTCCCTTATTTCTGCTTCGATGTCTTGGTGGCATTTCTTTGAAGTTTAGAGAGGCTATTCCTGTAATTATTGTTTCTTTTCTTTTTTTTTTTTTTAAAAGAATTTAATAGATTTTCAGGAAGATTTTTTTTATCTTCCTGCTCAGCTACTGTTCGGACGCTCCTGCTTACTGCTCCGCGCTTTGCTCTATCGCTTTAATATTTTTTTATATATTTTATCTCCTTTTCACCTAATTTTAACTTCAGCAAATCAGCACAGTGCTCAGACGCTGGGATTACTTAAAAAGTCACACTTTTATTCAACCAGCCTCTCACTGCTTACATTCCGGGGAAGAGAAAACACAACTCCCTACACTCATAAGGATAAGAAAATGCCTCTTCGGGAATCTACTTGCTGCTCTAACTGCCACAGACTTTTACAAAGGATTGCAGTTCTTGAAACAAAGTTAAATTCGGGACCGACAAACCAGACAGAAAGGCACAACAGAGCTCCGTCGTGGACGCCCTCAGCGCACAGCCGGTGAGTCCCATGAATCTAGTGCTCCTCGACAAGCTATACTGACTGTAGAGAAACAAGCCGATCGACTTACAAATCGATGGCACATACAGGGAGCGAGACCCAAAGGCACTCGAGACATCAGATTGTCACGAGCACCACATATTTCAGCAGTAGCATCATCTACCCCAGATATGACTCTGACCAGGATTGCAACCACTGGTCTCCTACCACCGCCTATTCATCTTGAGAACAGATTCGAAGTATTAATGAATGAAGAATCCCTGAATTTGACTAATGTGATCGAACACAGACTGAGTCAGCCTGTAGCTAACGCTGATGCTAACCGGCGCTCAAGGTCGAGCAGACAGCGGCACTCAGCTCAGAGCACAGCGGGGCCCAGGACTCTGATAGTGGGCGACTCCATAATCAGAAACATTAGTATCAGGGATACAACTACATGCTGCCTTCCACAAGCAACAAATTCTGATGTAAACAGGGAACTTCAGAACATTCTGGTGAAACATAAAACTGCAAATCGACTCATCATTCATGTGGGGAAGAACGATATTCATAAAGAGCAGTCAGAACTCCTTAAGAAGGATTTCAATGAACTTTTTGAAACACTTAAAAGACTGAAAGTTGAAACATTCATCAGTGAACCACTCCCAGCAAGAGAAACAAACAGGTTTTCACGGTTGCTTGGGCTCAACACATGGCTGCAAAAAACCTGCAATAAAAAAGGAGTGAACTTTATTGACAACTTCAATCTTTTCTGGAGTCAGAGGCAACTGTTTCAACGGGATGGCCATCACCCAAACAAACTTGGTTCAAGAGTACTAAAGGACAATATCTACTTCTCCCTCCATCATCCTTCTGCAGTGTGTGCCAATCCATTCAACCTGAATGGCACTCACACACCTGGACACAGTATGAACGACCACAGGACTTCACTTCAACACCTAAATGGACATATTGCTGACACATCACACAAGGACAATGATAACACCACTCAGCCACAACAACAACCTCTGCTCACGGATACAATCTCAGCAGAGCTCTGCCCACAGAGCTCACCACAGACAGACTGTGACATATCAGAACTGCTCCCAGATTCAGCACCCAAGGACGACTTTCTGGAAAACAACGAGGGAAACCAGGACAGCATTTTACACCCTCCAATAACACCAGAGCAACAGCCCATCTCACCTGACACGTTATCACTCTCTCCAGCATCTCCACTTCTGTGCTTCTCAGAGAAAATGGAACAACTGGTGTCTGCTGGAACCAAACTATCACACTCTTTTGCTGCAAGCCCCCAGATACCAACCAAAAAACGGCAGACCCCAAAACCACCAAAGCTTTCGGGCCCAGCTCGCCCTCCCCCTCCCCCTCCTCGGAGAGCTCTTCGGCCTCTGCCACAGCGCCAGGGCCCACACTCTCCCCCATCGGCTCGAGGTAAACCAAAAACAACTGATACCAGCTGTAAGTGAAATATTTCGGTTCCTCGCTATGAAAACAATAACTTTATCAAATGTTTACAGAACAAGCGGAAACCCAGTGTGCCTGAATCTTTCTCTATTGCTGTTCATTTACATGATAGAAAATCTAAGGCCTTCAACAGCCGTACAGCAAACCCATCTAATCTGGTGCCCATTACACGCCAAACTAAGACTGCTGTGAGGACAAAAAGTAAGACTATAAAGTTAGCACTTTTAAACATCCGCTCCATTAAAAATAAATCACTTCTAGTCAATGACTTAATAACCACACACAACCTGGACTTCATGTTTCTAACTGAAACTTGGCTAGAAGACAGCTGTAGTGCAACGGTCCTAAACGAAACATCCCCTCCAAATTTTACTTATATGAGTGTCTGCAGAGCGGGTAAGAGAGGTGCTTTTACTTATATGAGTGTCTGCAGAGCGGGTAAGAGAGGTGGCGGCTTAGCTGCTCTTTTTAAAGATGTTTATCAATGTAAGCAAATATCATTTGGGAATTACCCCTCTTTCGAATATCTGGGTATTGTGTTAAAAGGTAGGCGGGCGGCAGTGGCTTAGTGGTTCATGTGGGTTGTCCACGAACCGAAAGGTTGGTGGTTCAATCCTCGGTTCCACCTGACCAAGTGTCGAGGTGTCCATGAGCAAGACACCTAACCCCAGCTGCTCCCGACGAGCTGGCTGGCGCCTTGCATGGCTGACACCGCCGTCGGTGTGTGAATGAGTGTATGAATGGGTGAATGTGAGGCAAAATGTAAAGCGCTTTGGTGGCCATTAGGTCTATGAAGGCGCTATATAAATGCAGTCCATTTACCATTTACCAAAAGGTGCTCCACGTATTTTACTAGTTTACAGGCCTCCAAAATACTCTCCAGCCTTTGCTGAGGATTTTACTGAATTGCTATCAACAATTGCCTCTGAGTTTGACTGTTTTGCCATTGCTGGAGATTTCAACATTCACATAGATAACGCAGAAAACAATATGGCAAAATATATTAAAACTGTTTTAAAAACTTTTGATCTGACACAGCATGTACACGGTCCCACACACAATCGTGGACACACTCTAGATTTACTTATCAGTACGGGTTTAAACATCTCATCGATTGTTATTAAGGATGTAGCACTGTCTGACCATTTCTGTATTTTCTTTGATATATTAATCTCTCCTGCCGTTGAAGCTAGAGCTGTGTCTGTCAAGAAGAGATGCTTAAATGAAAACACTGGTGTGCTATTTATGAAGGCTATAGCTTTAAAACCAAGCATATCTGCTGACTCTGTTGATTTTCTCCTTGATTCTTTTAACTCAAAAGTTAAGAGTGTAATTGATGATATTGCTCCTGTTAAAGTCAGGAAGAATAGTGGCAGACAAAAAGCACCTTGGAGAAACTCAACAGCTGTGCAAAATATGAAAAGACAATGCAGAAGAGCAGAACGCATGTGGCGGAAGACAAAACTTGTAGTCCATTATAACATCTACAAAGACAGCATCCACACTTTCAATAGGGAACTAGGCAAAGCCAGACAGACTTTCTTCTCAAATATTATAAACAGCAATATAAACAACACACGCACTCTTTTTGCTACTGTAGAGAGACTGACAAACCCCACAAGCCAGATTCCCATAGAAATGCTCTCAGACAGCAAGTGCAGTGAGTTTGCTTCTTTCTTTTCTGAGAAAATCAATAACATCAGAAAGGTGATCAGCACATCCTTGAGTTGCTCTGGGGTCAGGCAGATCAGACCACAACCTGAGAAAGTAGTTACTATGTCTGATTTCGAAGAAATTGATGACACAATTTTGGTAGAAACCGTACAGCACCTTAAAACATCAAACTGCGCCCTTGACACACTTCCCACATCTTTTTTCAAAAGTGTGTTAAACTGTTTAGAAGCAGATCTCCTAGAAGTGGTAAATGCCTCACTTCGCTCTGGGAATTTTCCGAACTCCCTGAAAACTGCAGTTGTCAAGCCCCTCCTGAAAAAGAGCAATCTGGATAAGACCATCTTGAGCAATTATAGACCGATCTCAAATCTTCCTTTCATAGGCAAGATCATTGAAAAGGTTGTCTTCAATCAGCTGAACAAATTCTTAAGCTCAAATGGATATTTTGACAATTTTCAATCTGGTTTCCGATCGCATCACAGCACGGAGACAGCTCTCATAAAGATAATAAACGACATTCGCTTAAATACTGATACAGGCAAATTATCCGTGTTGGTACTACTCGACCTCAGTGCTGCATTTGACACTGTTGATCACAACATACTTCTTGACAGGCTGGAAAACTGGGTGGGGCTTTCTGGGATAGTCCTAAAATGGTTCAGGTCATACTTAGAAGGGAGAGGTTATTTTGTGAGTATGGGAGAACATAAGTCTGAGTGGACATCCATGACTTGCGGAGTCCCTCAGGGCTCGATTCTCGCGCCACTCCAATTCAACCTGTATATGCTCCCAATGAGCCAAATAATGAAAAAGAACCAAATAGCTTACCACAGCTACGCAGACGACACACAGCTCTACTTAGCCCTATCGCCTAACGACTACAGCCCCATTAACTCCCTGTGCCAATGCATTGATGAAGTAAACGGTTGGATGTGTCAAAACTTTCTGCAGTTAAACAAAAACAAAACTGAAGTTATTGCGTTTGGAAACAAAGATGAAGTTCTTAAGGTGAATGCATACCTTGACGCTAGGGGTCTAACAACTAAAAATCAAGTCAGGAATCTTGGTGTGTCACTAGAGTCAGACCTTAGTTTTAATAGTCATGTCAAAGCAATAACTAAATCAGCATACTATCATCTGAAAAATATTTCAAGAATTAGATGCTTTGTTTCCAGTCAAGACTTAGAGAAACTTGTGCATGCTTTCATCACCAGCAGGGTGGATTACTGTAATGGCCTCCTCACTGGCCTTCCTAAAAAGACCATAAGACAGTTGCAGCTCATACAGAACGCTGCTGCCAGGATTCTGAGCAGGACCAGAAAATATGAACACATCACACCAGTCCTCAGGTCTTTACACTGGCTGCCAGTTACATTTAGGATTGATTTTAAAGTATTATTACTGGTATATAAATCATTTAATGGGTTAGGACCTCAATATATTGCAGATATGCTCACTGAATATAAACCCAACAGATCACTCAGATCATTAGGATCACATCAGCTAGAAATACCAAGGGTTCACTCTAAGCATGGAGAGTCTGCTTTTAGCTATTATGCCAGCCGCAGCTGGAACCAGCTTCCAGAAGAGATCAGGTGTGCTCCTACAGTAGTCACATTCAAATCAAGACTCAAAACACATCTGTTTAGCTGTGCATTTACTGAATGAGCACTGTGCCACTGTTCGTCCGACTGTTACTGCACTTCATTTTATTCTAAATAGTTTTAATTTACTGTATTTTATTTTTATCATAATTTTTATTTTTCATTATTTCTTATTTTTTATTCTAAACTGTTTTAATTATTCTGATTTATTTTGATTATTTTAATTTCTTCTATGTAAAGCACTTTGAATTGCCATTGTGTATGAAATGTGCTATATAAATAAACTTGCCTTGCCTTGCCTTGCCTAATAAAGAACTCGTATTATGTCCAAACGGCCGTTGCAAAACGAAAAATGAACGGTTGTTGTATTTTTAAAATGCAAAGTTGAACACCAACATTTTAGTTTGACCACACCATAGCTGCGCTATAACATCTCAACAAATTTTCAGATATTTGTTTATGACTTTTTGCCCCCTTTAAAACATTTAAAATATTCACAAATTAATATGGGGAAAATTTTTGATTTGACTGGTTTTCTAAGGCCAAATTAGAACATGGATATTTATGATATTTTTCCTGCAGTGCTGTGGCTATAGGAGAGTTATTATGCATCTGAAAAAATAACGAGCTAAAAACATAATCTCCGGATACACCTTTAGAGAGAACGGCACCTTTCATACGGATTACATAATCAGAAGGTATTAGTTTACGATTCGAATTTGCTCTTTTTAAAGAGGACATTTCAAGCTTTAGTCTAGTTCTCCAGTTCACGAAGATCATAAAGCGGACCTGATTGTTTTATGTTATTTTACAAAAGCACAACATTTTCTTGTTATTGTGACATTACGCAAATAAAAGTAGTTGCGAATAATGTATTATTATTTTCTGTATAACCAGAAATGATAGAGTATTTTAAGTTGATTCCACTGTTGATGGGAAAATGAAAGTGTTCACGGCGTGCCCGTCTGCCATCCAGTGCTCCAAACTCCGCACGCACTCTTGGATATTGGACAAAATCGAGTGTTTCTTTGTGATAATCTAGCCCTATTATTATTATTGTCCAACCTGTACTATGAATGAGATGTGACGGATAAAAGCGTCTTCTCTACATAGGCTATGTAGACTAATAAATGTTATAATAGGCTAATGATGATAATTAATATTATTATTATTATTATTTGCGGACACGGACCTAAAACACACTCCGTCTTCTAAGTCAGATGACTGTAAATGCGCAAAATCCGTTTCCATTGCAGTTTTGCAAAAAAATCCTTTTTCGAATTGCCTGAAAAACCTCATGAGAGCGTAAAAACGTTTTTGTGATAAACGGGAGTTTTTGCGAAATTGACGTGTTTCCATTGAGCGTATTTTCAATTTTCAATTTCAATTTGCGCAAATTGCAGGGCTATTGAAACGCAGCTGACAGCATTTTCCGGCTCGTAAGCAGTGTTTTTAAGGTGACAATAGATTATAAATATGAAGATTTATGTACTGTACCTTGAGAATGATATTGTATCTTGATAAAACATAAGTACTTTAATGTTGTAAAAAATAAACAATTTGTTCTGTTAGATGTGTTTGACTACTTTTTGTATGTTGTATAATTATATCTCTAGGAAACAAAGATATATTTACAAAAAAACTATTTTAGAAGGGCCTTATACTGCTCTCCTTGTGCGTTTCCATATGTGTGAACACAATTCAGCAGCAAGCCAAACTCCCTTCAAATAAAGACTGGAGTCAGGGTGCAGTTTTCCAAGAACAACTCCTGATGTTTACTCCAATATGATTCAAAGAAGAGTGAAACTATCAAAAACAATACACAAATAAAGTGCTTTTAGAAACAGAATACAAAATATATACACAATATTAAGGTTAACAGAGCAGAGTTACCGGTTGAGCAATTGGTGTATAAAACAACACTTAATTATTATCAATATAGCATAGAAGATGTATAAAATATTCTCAATTTACACATTTAACAATGATTACTTACTGACAATGCTTTCGAAGGCATAAACATTAAAGAAAACTGGAGCAGCAGTCACATGGAGCTTAATGCTTGAGAGAGTTGAGCGAAACTGAAACTAAAAATTAGAGTCCCAAATAAAAAACCTAAAATGCTTAGTCCAATTAACATAACACTCCCCGCATGACATCTATAAAGATGTCATCTATAATTATCTGTTTAAAGGTGTTTTTCTTATTTTCTAAGCAGGAGAATGATTTCAGATATAGGCCTCAAGAAAGTTTTGCTGGACCCTCCTTTAGTTACTTTAAGTTCAACTTTTCGAACCTTGCCATCTTGACCAGGGAAAACACTTGTGACGAGTGCCATAGGCCATTCATTTCGGGCTACTTGATTGTCCTTAAGTAGTACTATGTCGCCCTCCTGGATGTTTGGGTATGGATCCTGCCATTTGTGACGAACTTGCAGTGTTTGCAGATATTCCTGTTTCCAGCGACACCAGAATTGGTTGGCTAGGCTCTGTACTTGCCGCCATTGGCGTTTGTAGATGTCCTTTTCGGAGAAGTTTCCTGCTGGAGGTGGAGAACCTGCCTTTTGTGTTAGGAG